CTGTAAGACTGCATTCATCATACATTATCAGTTTATCTGAACTGTGCCAACAATGTTCTGGCACGTGTTATATCGTTGATATAAATTAAACCATAACATCCATAACAACAAAAATATTTGAATATACTAAACATTGTATAAATGCATTAAGGCACTCAAGGCTGTGCTGTTTGTGAATAAAGTCTATTTAGTATGTGTCATGCCACCCTTTAACTATATTCACAACACAGCATGGCCTTAAGAGCCTTACTGCATAACCAGAAACTTTAGAAACAATCTTAACCTCCTCCCACAACTATAAATTTAGCATACAAATTGTCTAACTATATTTCACTGCCTCTAAGTCAATATTTCACGTCACTTCACAATGACAATGAATTGCACATTCAGATTGTGATTTCTCCCCCCCTTTTGTTACTGAACAGAATACCAATCATTCTTCCGAACCATTCCAAAAGTTTTGCTGTGTGTCACTTTTTTGCAGCAGCAGCAGGTTTTACAGGAACCAACTGCTTTTGGCTCCATCTATTTTGCCTTTGGAAGCAACATACAAGTTCTCCTGATGATGAAAAAGGCATATAACTATTTTGACTTTTATGTCTTTTCTTTGAGGTCGTATTCCTACATTTCAGTCCTATCGGACCACTTTTTATTTCAAAATGTTTCAGGTTGTCATACGGCTTCTAGCAACCACAGGAATGGGGCTGGACTGGCTCTGCATAGATGTAGCTGGATTCAGCCCGCTCTTCTAAAGCTGTGAAATGCCAAAGAGACTGATATCTGGCCATTTTCTCCTATTTCAGTACTTTGTAAAACTCACTTGCCTCCTTCATTTTTCTGGCAGATGACCTTCTTGCTTGGTTGCTCAGTGCAGTAGATTTTGGGTGAAAAATGTCACCCATTTTGTTTGAAAGGGTCATCACAGTAGTAGAAAAGTATTCTAACTTTCTCCAGGATCGACCACTTCTCGTGGTCAGCATGGTCATGTCAGTATGAATGAACAATTTAGCATTTTTATAATAGAATAAGATAATATAAATGTATTATAATAAAAACAGTCCTATTTATGTGCAACCAAAAAAATGTTCTCATAACATATATTCTGAATAACAATACAATTATTAAAATAACCCTGAATACAGCTACATTTTCATCGTAGCTTTACAGAGACTCTTCAACAGGAGTTTCTGAACTACAGATCGCTGATATTTAACTTTCTTTGTTCTCTAAACGCTTCAGTGGGATTTATCACGACATGAACCATTAACAGGAACAACAGACCAAAAATAGAACGAAATACATGTTGCATTCAATTCCTGACACCTTTCAAGCAATTCCATCACCGAATTGGAGATTTTGTTGCTCCTTCAGAGATAAACATTGAAATGCAGCACTGGATTCATTTAGCGCTTCATCGTCACACTCCTTTAAAGCACGTATACCACGAATCCATGCCATTCATATTCTCGAGAGAACAGCCAATCAGAGGCCACGCGTAAACGGATTTCCGCGAATCAGAAATCGGTGATCCTCCGTCGCCCCGGCAACCGCTATGACGTCGCTAGAGTGTCCCGCCCATCAGTGTGTGAGTTCGAATCGTTAGGAGGCACGCAGCCATTACAATACGCTATATTCAAGCCGAGCGCCACGCGATTTAAGGAACTAGACTATTACTGGCTCACGTTCTTTCTTTTAAATATCAGTTTTATGAAACTCAATTTGAACTTTAACGATAATATTTTTTGGCTAACAGTCGTGTTTGTAAATATAGTCAGGCGTTGCGTCGACGTGAGACGCTCCGCATTCCCAGGCAGTTGACTCGCCGGAGGCACGCGCAGACATACAGCCTTTTCCGTTTGTTCAACGCATTCATTTGAACGCCTGTATTTCGTTAACCAAGAAGATTCCGATTTAAGAGACTCGCTTCGATTTAGATGGCAAGCTTCCCAGATTTTGTCAACGAAAATGAAATAGGTGAGTTTCTGTTTTCCATGGGGGCAGGGTCTTCTTGTTTACCGCTAGTTCCTTTTTTAACGTGTGTGTTATCCTGTGTAATGAGTGTTTACATTTGTGCAGCTATGAATTTAAGCGACTTAACGTTACTCATAATTCCAGTGTTTGGGTGGTGTCTCCATATCAGCCATATTAAGACACAATTTGAACTCCAAACACATGCGTATGCCGCGTTTGACCGTTAAAATATTGCGAGTTATTTGAATATTTCATAGTTATTGTTAGTGCTTTAATTATCAGACCCAGAGCGCTTCCCCACACACACACACACACACACACAAACAAACACACACACCTCCCCCACCGTCAGCAGCGGTTTCTCCAGACCCCTGTGAATGACTCACCACACCAGTGACTCACCATGTCACATACACGTTACGCAGTTATGCTTTGTGTTAATTATATAAACTTTAACATTTCTGAAAAAGAAAAAAGAGCTGTATGTGATTTTGTGTTGGTTTTAAAATTGTAATATCCAGGACGTGTTCATATAGTGACTAGTATCTATTCAGTTGAGAGATATTACCTGCTACTAGTCTGTATCCTCTTATCGGCAAGTATCTATTCCATTGTTTCTGGTAACCGATTACTTTTTTTTTTTGTCACTGAATGCTACATACATTGACTTTTTACTATAAAGTATTATACATTCCAATTATACATATTCACTTTTGAAATCAATACCGATAACGTTACTATTTGACAAAAAAATGCTAGAAACACAAAAATAGACAATCCACAACATACAAAATGTATTTGTCTAAAAATGTACAATTCAAAACAAATTGATTTAAAAGATGGTTTTGCATTGACTTTCTTTCCTCAGTGGAACATAAAAGAAGATATTTTGAGAAATGTCTGAGGATTTTTGTCCATACAATAGTAGTCAATGGTAGCCAAAACTGTTTGGTTACCAACATTCTTTAAAATATACATTTTTGTGTTCAGCAAGTTCTTGCAGGTTTGGTACAACATGATGGCGAATAAAACGATCATCATTTTTGGGTGAACTATCCATTTAATTTGTTTACTTTTTTTTTTAAATATATAACAGGTTTTTAATTTGCGAAAGTAGATGGGCATACAGTTACAGTGATTTAACTTAATGACGGCTATAAAGTCATACATGCACGTTTGCTGTTAAACAGTAACAAAAATTGGTCTGCCAACTAGTTTGGGTTTTCTAAAAAATTAAGACTTAAACATGTGCTTTCTGTTGCAACAGGTAAAGCTAAGTTCATCGGGGAACTCCTACCTCCTGTTGCTCCCTTTGACCAGAAGTCTGGAAGGGAGACTTGGACTGCAGCTTTTGCACCTGATGGTTCTTACTTCGCTTGGTCTCAAGGGCATCGAATTGTGAGACTTGTACCATGGAAAAAATGCTTAGCCAGCTTGTGAGTATACACACTGATGTCTTTGTTTCTCACTATAGTGAATTGTTACAATACAGCTTGTGTGTTGATCAACTGACAAAGGCAGTCTCCGCGTGTGCTGGTTGTCTGGTTTGGCCCTCTGGGCTTTCACATGGTGGCTACGCCACAGTGGTGCCCAGTGTTTGGGCTTGTTTAGCAATCAGTGGCATTGCATAGACCTCCAGTTATCATCTCACCTTACCCTGTGTGGATAGAGACACCGCCATTGAGCACGCAGCCCTGCCAACCAGCTATTGTCCAGTACTGAATGCAAAGTCCTCATTATGAGGTTCACGTCATTGCCCTTTGGCTGCATGCCTCCAACTGAGTGACTTTTTGGGCTGTTTGTTTACTCTCCTCTTTGCCCGTGTTAAGGGGAGACACTGCAGGCAAAAACACTGTTTTTTTTCATGCACCTGTCAAATGTGAGATTTTGGCCTTTTTGGTTTTGCATAGTGTTTTTTCAGACTAGTGGAAAGAAAACATCCTAAAGACACTGTTAAGTGTTTCTTTTATAGCACTTTATCTATTTGTGTCAATAGATTTAAATTACAATACATATTTTTAAAGGCCGTTTTCTCAAAAAGAGTTTTTTCTGCTACACTGAACCATAAATCTCCACTTCAGTAGCACTTACACACACCAAACTTTACATTTTTAGTCCTGTCTATATCCTGAAGGTTTTTCCAGAGGGATTTGTTCCTATATAATTTGCTTGATTATATACAACATTTTATTCCCCCAAAAATTGTGTAAATAGTGTGTTCTGTCTGTTCTAAGCATTTTCTGAATTATAGTGACAAAAATGAGACCCAAAATTCCCTCTGTAAAAACTTGAGACTAATGTCAAAAAAAAAATAAACAAGATTTTTGAAACTGACATAATCCAGTGTTTAGATTTTTGTACCAGAAATGTATGTAAATTAGCGCATATTTCATTAAATAATGACTCATTTGCATATTTAAACCTAACATTTTAGAAAACTTGTAATACAAAATTTTTTTGCAATTATCAATGTAATCAATCAGCTGGGTAAGTAAGGCGATAACTTTTTTTATTTTATTTTTATACACCCTATTCACCTGCAGTGTCTCGCCTTAGGTCTTGTACTTTTCTGCAAGAGTGGAGGACAAATTGATCAACCCAACAACTTCTTCGGCAGTCATTATATTAAATGTGTTTCTGGGTTCTGGTAACAAGTAATTATCTTGCGGTCTTCTTGGTGCGTGCTCAAGCTAGTATTCTTTGTTAGAAAAAAAAATACCAGACATATCATTGCAACATAAACCATGCAGACAACTTTAAAACAAGTAAAACTTTAACAGAAGTTACGATAGTTGGAACAAACCATGGAACATTCTCCATGTGTCCATAAAAGAGAACCATGGTATTGTAAAACTATTTTCAGTCATTCTACATGAAGTGTAGTAACTTTATTAGTAGGTGTTCACACAAAGGACATCATTTGGCAGTTCAATTTATTTATAGATTCTGAATAGTTATTACTAAACTGAAATAATTGGGGAAAATACATTTGCATTACATTGACCAGAGTTGTTCTGGTTAACTAAAAACATTAAAAAAAAGTTGTTGATGTCATAAAATGACAAATTAAAATGTATTGAAACTAATAACTATATATACATAAAAAAATAAAATAAAACTAATAATAGTGACAAAACACAGCAACATTTCTGAAACTTTAAAGTTTACTAAAAAAATAAAACTTAGCTGTGATAGTATTTCAGTGGCACTAAAATCAAAGGCACATTTTTATACAGGTTATTTTAGTCTTTATTATTATTATTTTTAATTATTATTAATTTGGCTTTAGAATGTACTTTATGAAAGAATCTTCATTTTTGGGTGAACTATTCTTTTAATGCTAAAACAAAAGGAAGTCACTGTGCCATTAAAGGCTTCAGCTGACACATGCCAGGCTGTTTCAGTTCTGCAGTGCCTGCTCTGTATTCGCACAATAACTCTTGTAATGATTCCAGAACCTTATTTGATGAGTTTCATGCACTGGCCAAGTGACGTTAAATGGGTCAAAGTTGATGCAACACTTCTGCAATCTCTAAGGCTGGGAATTTACTTAGTGTTCAAATATTCCTAAGAGTTCAAATGTGCAGCTTGTTTCAACAGACATGCTAGATAATGTATTTAAAAAGTAAAATGTCCTCTTGCTGTTTATAAACTTTAAGAGAATTTGTTATCTGTTTTCCATCAAGCAGAGACATGATTCTCATACCAACACAACACAATGACTTTTTCCTCTTTCCCTTCCTCTTGCCCTAGTTCTGTAAAAAAGGAAGATCGGTCGAGCGGTGCTGGTCCTCGACGACTCTCCCGGCAGAACAGTGAAGGCAGTCTGCTCCCAGGTGAGCCCAGAGAGCACACCATCGACTGTGGTGACATTGTTTGGGGCCTGGCATTCGGCTCTTCTGTTCCCGAAAAGCAGAGTCGCTGCGTTAATATCGAATGGCATCGGTTCAAGTTCGGCCAGGACCAGCTGCTACTGGCCACGGGCCTCAACAACGGCCGCATCAAAATCTGGGATGTCTATACAGGTGAGGGTCCTCTCACTGAATCAAGCATCACAGACTAATCTAGTATCTTATTTAATGTTTATCATTAAGTATATTGTATTTATTTTATTTTTATGTTTCTGCGCTAGAGTAAATGTTTTTAAAAACCACAGTCCACCCATGCCATCCTCTCTCAACACTTCTGCATGTCAGCTTCCTGTTTTTCTGTTTCCCAACAGATGCATGTGCGCTCACATGTAAGAGCGAGGGGAGGTGGTGATTATATAAGATGTTGACACGATCTTTTAAGCCCTACCTTTTTGTAATTTTGACCCATTTCTATCACTTAATCATACTTCCCTCATAATTTCCAGATGCATGTCTTGTATACACCTACTGATTTTTAGCATTTTTATGCAGTCATCAGTCAGTATTTATTTTTATTGCATATTTATTCAAACTTATAGGTACACTCTCCCTTACACAATAGATCTCACCAATTTATGAACCTTTTTTAATGCTTCGCCATTGGTTTCTTGGCCACTTAGGTTCTGCTTTTGTGCCTCTGTTGAAGTTTCGCATTTTAATGGTCATAAATTATGCGTAAATCTGCTATCAGAAAATGAATTGCTGTGTTGGTGTTTTTGTGAAACGGACACGTGGTTGTTGACTGCAGAAAAACCAGCAAGTCTTCTGAGTTATATAATAAATTTTTGCTCCACTGTAAAATGTGTTAATAGGTGGGCAGGTCCTATACAGACACTGCCATTGGTTGTTCTGAAGGTTTAGAGATGTTTTCTTCAGAGGATGACTCCACCTCCCTTCGAACTGAAACTGCAATGCCATAAATGTACCTAGCAGACTTGCTCTTTTCAGGGTGCGAAACTTCTCCTCCAGCTGCCTTTATTTTTCTCCCTTCAGAAAACATTCTGGAAATCTGATAGCAATGTATTGTACAGTATCTCTACAGGATCTGTGCCGTACGCCCATCATTCTATATGCTAAGCGAATGTATGTTTTCATGCTTGACAGGTTGCAAATAGGCACGGTTACTAATCCCTAATCATATTTTAAAAACACATGTTAAAGATTTTTGTATCACTGTAGATGCAACTAATTATAGGGATATAATGCGGATCAGCCTGGCAGGTGTCAGTGATTGTGCTTCCAAATGCCTCTAGGCAATTCAGCACCATTCATAAAGAAAGGTATATAACTGCTCTATTTTCTGAAACGCCTTGGGAAGTCCCTTTTCGACATCTGCTTAAGTGTAAATGCCTCAAACATAATCTTTCTCTCTTTGGTTCCTAAGAAGTCAAAGTTTCTAAAGTAAATTGTGTGAAAGGCAGCTGCCAAGATGCAGTAACAAGATGTTGATACTAATGCAACATTGACGCGGTTTGAATCAATTACCGTGGACTTTGTGCTGTAAACAGTGGGTGATCTGGAATGATTTGGCTTTTTTTTAACCTTTATCCTCAATTTTGTTTTGTTGTATACAGGAAAACTTTTGCTGAACCTGATGGACCACACAGACATTGTGCGAGACCTAACATTTGCCCCAGATGGGAGTTTAGTGCTGGTTTCTGCTTCAAGAGACAAGACTCTACGCGTATGGGACCTAAAAGATGATGGTGAAGACCAAATGTTGATTTTGTATAGGGCTGCACGATAAATCGCATGCGATATTTAACGCGCATCTTGTCAGTAAAGCCATTCTGTAATCAGCGGTAAATCTCCATCACCTGCGGGAGAGCCGTTGTTCACCGACAAGCTGCGCAAAATATGATCGTGGTTTTGCGCAGCTTGTCAGTGAACAACGGCTCTGTGTAGTTAATGCTGCTCCATGTGAAAGCCCGCAGGTGATGGAGATTTACCGCTGATTACAGAACCGGCTTTACTGACAAGATGCACGTTAAATATCGCATGCGATTTATCGTGCAGCCCTAATTTTATATTTGGTGCCCCTACTTTTTTTTATTTTTTTATTTTATTTTATTTTTTTTTTGAAGCTTTACATATAAGTATTAACATGCTAAAACTAGATGGTGTGTAACCCCAAGCTGAAAAGTCTCTGGTGTAGGCATGGGCCGATTACCGGTTTCAAGGTATACCGCAATTTGAAAATGTCACTTTCAAAACTGCTAATATTTTCCGTTATACCATTCCTGCGGTGTGCGCTGTTTTTCATGTCTCCTCAAAGACAGAAAGTGTAGGAATCCCTCAGGTTGAGTGCAGTGTAGAGAGTAACGCGACCCTCCTCCTTCTGTTGGTGCAAGTGAGCGGTCAGCCACGTGTGAGTAGGATGGACGAACTTAAGGAGCTTCCTTTGGAACTTACGCGATCGGCAACCGACCTTTTTTTTTTTGTCTTATTGCAAGCAGCACGTTTCTGTTCTGGACTTACACACACTGCGTTGCAATGCAATCGTTTTCCAAAATGTCATTTATTTGAAAATATGAAGTCCAGGCCAGAGACGCTGAAGACGGACGCAAAGAGAAAAATACTGTAGCAGGCAGATCACTCATTCACTGTTCATGATGCACGAACTATTGGAGGAACATCCTCAATATTGATTTGGGGGTTTATATGAATGTGTTTCTGAGGGGAACTGACTGTCTTCAGAAAAGTTTACGTGGTATTTTCTTTTAATCTCGTCTCTGTATAGTTCATATTAAAGCAGCACTATGTAACTTTTGGCACTCTAGCGGTTTAATTAAAAGAACTGCACACATCCTGCGGAAGAACATTCCTACAGGAGGAATGTTCTTCCGCAGGATTCTCAAATTCTCTAAGTTTGTCTATGGCGATTCACGCAGGTATGTGTTACTCCGCAGCGGTGACGACCCGACCAGGCTACAATAGTCCAAATATAAGTACTTATTATAAGTGTACCGTAGTGATGCGGAATAAGACAAAAACGCAGTTTGGAAGATAAATTCATGATGTACTCGCTCATTATATACATTTTGCAAATTATGAACACAGAAAAAGTTACAGTGCTGCTTTAAAGCAGTGTTTCAGCGCAGTGCTGCTTTGTTTACAGCGGTAGCCAAGGAAACGCGTATCTAGTGTTCCAGAAGCGCCTCCTGCTGTCAGAGAGTGAATATGCATCTCATTCAGAGCTTCTGCTGTTTGTTTCGTTCAGGCATGTAGTATAATTTCACAAAGCTAGTCTGAAGAACATCCTGTTTTTGCTTGCTGCTTTAAAGCAGTGTTTCAGCGCAGTGCTGCTTTGTTTACAGCGGTAGCCAAGGAAACGCGTATCTAGTGTTCCAGAAGCGCCTCCTGCTGTCAGAGAGTGAATATGCATCTCATTCAGAGCTTCTGCTGTTTGTTTCGTTCAGGCATGTAGTATAATTTCACAAAGCTAGTCTGAAGAACATTCTGTTTTTGCTTAAAAATTATTTATAATAAAAATTATTAAATTTTTTTTTGACCCAGTCGTTTAAAAATAACACATTTTAGAGCTGTAACGACAATACTGTGATTCCCGTGAAACCGTGATATTTTTGCTTAAGGTTATCATACCGTCAAAATCTCATACCGGCCCATGCCTACTCTGGAGTAGAAGTTTCCTGCACAGAAGCCTGCTTTGTTTTCTGCAGCCCATTTATTTTGATTTTATCTCCATGGAGTTAAGCACACACAAATATCAGCAAACACACGTGTGTGTGTGTGTAAGCATGCACGTGCACAGGGGTACTCAGGGGGGATAGTTGGAAAATAATTGGATGCCAAGCCCAAAAGAATGTTTGCTGATATTTTCTCCTTGTCTTGGAAAATCCAAGGACAAACTTGCTGTTTTAATATGATCACATGAATCTTATTTATATGCTGAGAACTTGAAGATAAAATGGAGCTTACTGTATTTGCAAACCGTTTTCTTTTTTTACTAATCATGAAGGAATGTTGGCTAGAGTTCAGCTAAATTTTCCCCAGTCTCAAAGTGGACGCCATTGGGACGTGAGAAGGAATTTAGCTACTTGCTAAAGTATATTTATTTTATTGTTCACTGGGCATCAACATTGCTTTCAAAGGTTAAATATTGTATTGCGATAAACAATGAAATGCAGGAAAATACTTTGTTTGCATAATGTTTATCTTAAATTGTAACAGAAATTTCCCTTTTATTTTAGAAAATTTAAAAACAACTATAAATGTTAACAGAAAATAAAGTATTATACGTTTAAGCAATCTAAGTACTTTGTCTTAATAGGTAACATGGTGAAAGTACTCCGTGGCCATCAAAACTGGGTCTACTGCAGCGCTTTCTCACCTGATTCATCTGTCCTTTGTTCCGTAGGCGCCGGCAAAGCGGTACGTTTTGCAGTTCTTTCTTCCTCTTTATTAACTGTTTGGTGTGTTTCTTACTGTTAATAGTTCTGGTATGACCAATCAATGAGTGCTAAATTAATCTTTATATCATCATAATGCTCAGTGCCATAACCTGCTTCTGTAAACCCTGCCTGTAGTTTTGGTTTTTGGTTTGTTTTTGTTCATACAAATGAGTGCCTGGTTTTTATGCGCATGTTGATAGAAATGCAAATGGCTTATGAATTCTCCCCACCCATAAAGCTGTTCTTAATATTACTATTAATAACATCTGAAGAGACTTTCAGCTTAATTAATATTTGACTGTATTTTTTACTATTTTTACTGCCAGCTCTCGAGTCTTTCCGACTCCTAGCCAACTCTCCTCCCAAGAACAGGCAGCAGGGGTTGAACTGTACAGTTGTGTGTGTCCATAAGTGTCTTGCTTTCCCTGTCCCAGGTGGTGGCAGAGCTCTGTGTTTGAGTGATTTTGAGGGAAGCGCCGCGCTGACATATAGAGCAGCCGGTGCGGACCACGCGGGGCACGGCTGCCATCGCGGCCCCCGTTGGACGCTCATGTGCCCGTGCCCATGCCCCAGGGGCTTCCATGCTCCTGCCCACAAGGGCTTCCTGTACGTAGGTTCTGCTCCATGTCTGTCTATCTCCCGCTGTCGCAGTTCTCACTTCTTTTACCTTATCTCTCAAAAGAGTTGACAGTGAGATCCCCTTCCCTTCCTACCCCCTACTTCCCTTCTTTAACTCCGTTCCATCTCTATATTAGTAGCACTCCCATCATCTACACATTTACCCTAAAACAGGAGCTCTAGGCATTGTGTCTGCTGTACGAGTACACGAGTCAGCTGGTAGAGCCCCCCCTACTCATTAGTGTCATAGTTGAACTCACGACACCTTTGATACGCAACGCTCGACCGCTGGTCGATTTTTCTGTAATTAAAGCCCTACTCAGACTCTTTTGTAATGGGGTTAGTGGTTGGGTTGGGGGTGGTTGGGAGCATTGTTGGCATGTGTGAGTAATGAAAGGGCTCCTTGTGTCTCAAAAGACTGCCTGCAGTCAATGTCAGTCTAATGTGGAATGACTCGGATTGGGAAAACAGTTTCTGCAAATTTATCATTCCTTGTTGCATCATACATGAAGCCACCAGAAGCAAGACCTGTGTGTACTTTCCATGCTGGTTGCATTTACTTTGTGAAAGCGCATTTTGTTTTTTATTTGTGAATAACATAATTTGTCATGTTCTGAAAGCGGAGTCTGTTTTCACGACACCAGCCCGAAAACTTTAGCAAACACCAACTTGTTTTTCCTAATTTAAAAGGAACCACTGAATAATAGTAGCACTTATTTCTCCTAAAGTAGATCAAATCGCACTAGTTTAACTTCCAAAAAAGGCAAGATATCTGGCTTGGCTTAGCTTAGCCTTGAATGCTGGCAGTAGTTGTGCACCCTGAAGCCTTTTCATTTCACATTGCCAAGTTAGATAAAATGTTAAATTACCCTTGTATATGCACCGTTGTATTTTCTCCACCAACACCAGAATGTTTAAATGGCAAATAGCTATTGAATATGTACACTTTTCCTCAAGTGCAGTGTCTGTAGCTTATAAGAAATAAACAAGAATGTTTCCTTATTATAAATAAAGACCACGCAGGCAGGCACCTTGATTTTTTGGCACTCAAAAATACACTAAGGTGTGGTCACATCAGAGAAATTTAGCAGTCAAAAAAGCTCCGTTATAATTTGTTAATAGTGCAGCAATGAAGCATAGCTCACACTTAAGTCACTTTCATACAAAGTGGCTTTCTGTTACCGATCTTTCTAAAACCATTTTGAAAATTTGTCGAACAGCAGTAAATGTGACCATACCTTTACACTTTCTTAAATGTAAAAATTGTGCTGGAGCAAATTAAGCACTAGAAAGTCTCATGGTTGATTCTTTAGCACAGTTTGCAGTTGTGACATGTCTGTATTCTGTGTTTGCCAAAGGCGTCAACCTTTTGGCCATCAAATGTTCTCTTCTTTTGCAGTATCTCTGTCTCTTCGTAGGCCTCCACCGGCGCGGTGCAAGCCTATTGTAAACTCACGTGAACTAAAACTGAAAGGGGATACCAGTGGAGTAACATTATGTTACCTTAAGTTACTACTTGTTTGTATTTTTTTATTTACATTATTTTATAGTAATTCTTGGAATAATGTAATTTTATATATGTAAATGTAATTTCTATGCAGATTTGTATCTTAGATTTTAATTGTAAAAATGTGAGCATTGATGTAATTTAAAGACTTGCAACTGCTAGCTGCTCTGTAGAGTTTGACATTGTGCAGTTTTGTGCAATTAAGCCTTGCTGTTTCATTGGCATGTGCTACTTTTTCTGGGTTTGGTTGTAGCGCTTAAGATTTTCCTAAAAAAATGACACTGAGCACATTTTGATCTTGCTGTTTAATTTGAATTAATTCTTTGTTGGAATTCTTTGTCTCTGAACTGTGTGGAAAAACACAGTAGGCTATAACACATGTCTTTTGCATTGCAGGTCTTCCTGTGGGACATGGATAAGTACACTCTGATCCGTAAGCTGGAGGGCCATCATAACGATGTGGTGTCCTGCGAGTTCTCTCCTGACGGGGCCTTGCTGGCCACAGCCTCCTATGACACCCGTGTCATAGTGTGGGACCCTCATACAGCCACCGTTCTGCTTGAGCTGGGGTAAGTGATCTAGCCTTTTCTGCTCGGTGTGATTTCTCTCTCAAGTTCATGTTGTTTAACTGATCTCTTATCTTCCTTTCAGGCATCTCTTCCCTCCTCCCTCACCCATATTTGCAGGAGGAGCAAATGATCGATGGGTTCGTTCCGTTGCCTTTTGTCACGACGGTTGGCACATTGCCAGCGTCACTGATGACAGGTAAGATGAAGCAAACACTTTACACAAACGATCAATATCGAGTTTTCAAAAGCAAATATGCTTTTGAAAACTCTATATTGATCGTTTGTGTTGCAGTTAGTAGCCTGCATTAAGCGGCTCTAGAAGGAGTGTGTGATTTGCAGCAGGGCCTCTTTCTGGGAAAGATCACATGCCCCTCATATGATGTCCATTAATCACTATGAGGTGCCCAGTTTGCCTTCGCCGCGCCTCCTGCCGATTCTGGGTGGAGGCGTCTCTCTCATACTGAGAGAAAGAAACCATCTGTGCTCTACAAAATGGCGGACATGGAGAAGTTACATTACTCTGCATAAGATTTGTTTTGCTTTTATGTACAAATGAAATGACTGTTTTCTCTCATGCTCACCAAGGCTACTTTTATTTGAGCAAAAATACAGAAATATTCTGAAATATTGTTACAATTTAAAATGACTTATCTATTTTAAATTATTTTGAGATGTAATTTGTTCTTGTGATGGCAAAGCTGAATTTTCATCAGCCATTACTCCAGTCTTTAGTGTCACATGATCCTTCAGAAATCATTTTAACTAGGGATGCACCGAAATTTTGGCCGCCAAAAATTACAATTCGTTTTTTGGCCGAAATAGAGAACTATGTGCTGCGTTCTATAAATGTACTGCTCATGCTCACCGGAAAAGCAAAGTCTGCTCAAATAACGTGCCAACAGGAAATTTCTTTGTAGTATACTTGTTCCTGTTTGGAATAGCACTACTGTGCTGAAACATGGTGTAGTACAGCTGCACTGGGCAACTTTGGTAAAATGATGCTACCCTCTCATGACACTGTGCTCTGCTCACATGCTCTGATAATAGCTTTGTAGGACTATACATTATTTTGATAATTACACAAAAAAAATTCAGTTCAATCTGATTCTGTTGCATAGAACTGAATAAAAATAATATATTGATATTTAATATTAATATATTTTGTCAAATTTTATTGTTTTACTTTCAATAAAAGTGTGGTTATTTTATTGGCTTGTATTTTTTTTTATTCAGTGTCGTTTAAGTTGAGTTAAATTTAAAAATTCTTAAATTTATTTTTGTTTGTTTTTGGTTTTCAGCCAATTGCATCCAGAATTTTCCGTTTCGACCCAGAATTTTTATTATGGTGCATCCCTAATTCTAACATGCTGATTTGGTGCTCAGGAAACATTTTTATCATCACTGTTAAACTCAGTTGTGCTTTTTTTTTTGCAAACTGTGATACTTTTTTTATTCTTAGAAATAGTTCAAGAAAAACAGAATTTATTTGTAACATTTTACATTCTACAAGATGCAACATTATTAATGCTTTACTGTCACTTTTATTTTTTATCAATTGAATGTGTCCTTGCTGAATAAAAGTATTAATTTCTTAAAGTCTTACTGACCCAAAACTTGGTGTTAAACTTTAGTGGTAGTGTCTGAAATCACTAATTGAATTACAGTTGCAAGACACTGCAACACAGTAGTAAATAAAACAATCGGCTTGTATTTTCATTTTTCAGGCTGGTGCGTTTCTGGAGTATCGGTGAGAAGAGTCCTCAAGCCATCGCCCCTCTCACTAACGGCCTCTGTTGTGCCTTTTCTACTGACGGAAGTGTCTTAGCTGCTGGGTACGAATCTGTTACTCCATTGTTTGCTGGGTAGTGTTACTACATAAATTATCAAACCTGTATCTTGGCTTCTAACTTTTCTTCTGTTTTGAAACAAAGCCAAAAATAACTTTCATCACACTTTGTTCAAAAGTATCCTGAACGATCTATTTTAAAACAAATACACTAAACAGGTTCTGCAGCTTCCTTTTCATATGAAATTTAGATGAGTTGGCTGTCCCACATACAGGGTGTAAACCAACATACTTTTCTGCATGACAGCAGTCTGACAAAGCTGAATTGGCGAGTTGTACTGTACAAACACAACCAGACCCTGTTCAAGATGACATTTGATCATGATATAGTTTAGAATGCGTGTCAGTGGCAAGTTAAATAAACTAAATGGCATCCGTTTGTCTTCTCACAGGTCTCGTGACGGTAGCGTGCATTTCTGGGCTTCTCCACGCAGAATTGCGAGCCTCCAGCACCTGTGCCGCCTGACCCTGCGGCGAGTCATGCCCACCCCGCAGGTTTATACGCTGCCCATTCCTTTCTCCATGCAAGACTACCTGGCATACAAGACGCTTTAAGTTGGAATGTAAAACACAGCACTCGTTGAAACCAAATGAAATGTGTGGGGTTTTGTGGTGGGGTTTTTTTTTAAGACAAATATTTTTTGTGCTCTAACCAGCTTTCTGCTCATGAAAGGCGAGGTTGGTTCTTTTTGTATTTATTTATTTTTCTAATATTTTTTTTTTTTAAGTTTAGTTTTCCTAGTTGCAAGTGTATTTCAATACTTTGTTCAGTATATATATTTTTAAGCCCATATCAGGTAGTGGCCTTCAGACAGCCTTAATAGATCAGCGAACCACATTTTGTCCTTTTGAACCTTTTTTTAAATTTTTTTATTTTTTTTGGTCCGGCACAACTTGTACAGCACCTTAGAGTTGGTAAATGATGGGTGAAAGTGGTGCTTTCTCTGGCTCAGTTCAAGGTATTCCTGCACTGAGTTTAAAGCGATGTGATGGGGGATTATCTCCTGAATGTTCTTTTTCCGTTCTTGCTGTGAGAGGAATTGAAGGGAAGTGACGATGTGAAAGTATGTATGTGTGTGTGCATGTGATGGGCGGAATAGAGTTGGGTAGTTCAGGGACACGGGCAGTGCCTCCCCTTTACGTGCCTCTTTAGTGAAAATAAACATCCACACGCTTATGCTGCTTCAGTAACGGCCTTCATCATCACAAACCTAAAACTACAGTAACACATGGGCTAATTTGTTTTCTCCACAAATTGTATATTTTTTACCTGTACAGAGATTTAAGGCACGTTTTTGTTGTGTGTATATATATATACATATGTTTGTATAAATGTATATGTAGCTTCAATTTTTTTCCATGCTTCTCATGAATCATTTTATAATGCTTGTATTGAAAGTCTGCTCTGTACATGGTCTTTTCTCTTGTGCGACGGTGATGTTTTGTAGGGGAATGACACCAAAAGTTTGCTTCGAGGAGAAACTGCCAGCCAATTTGATGAGATTTTACCTAACCAGCAGTGAAACTGATGCCACATCCTTGATTTCTCATTCCAAACAAATTGCCACCGACTTCCACTTGCTGTATCTGCTATGAAATATGGCACTTTTACCCAGCCTGACACATTGCCTAGTCCTAACCATTATCTCGCCACTTAACTCTCAATCAAACTTCAGTCTGTTAACACTTTGACATTCGACAGCCATGTGTGTTTTAACAGTGAGGTTTTGTGGAGGTGATTTCGTTTGGGCATGTCTCCTCTACCTCTCATTTTGAGGAATGGGTTTATTGGATATCCTGGAACAAAATGGCATGATTCTGTTTGTTACACTTGTGACCCTGCCTGTCATTTAAAGCGAGTTGATTGGCATCAATTAAGAATGTGAGAATCCGAATGTGGCATATTCATCTGGTCATGCAGTCAAACAGTCTTGGCAATAAAAATGTGTTGAAAAAGCTGATGCCAAAGATCCCCATGGGTTCTTATTGATGTGATTGGCACAATCAGTTTTCTCTTACTCTCATTTATGGCTAAAACTTGAAAGACTTTATATGTATGTCAGTTTTTCTGCTTGGGTGTGTGAATAATGCTGATGTTCAACAGATTAGGTTTTCTTTAGATTCTTATAAAGTAGATCTAGAAAGGATACATAGATGCACTTCAGTGTTCCAACCAAATCTGTAGCAGTTGCAGTTCTTTAGAATATGGTGGGGGTAGTTTTCAATCATTAATGAATATTATAGAGATGCTTGGAAACTAGTTAATTTGTCCAACAGACAGAATACCTAATGCTGTACTCAACTGGAGCAAGTGAATTTGTCAACAAATGGCTTTTTATGAGAATGTGCTTTTTTTCTCTCTCTCTCTCTCTCCTCCAGTTGGTGGGGTTTTTGTTTTTATGATTGTTGTCGAAATAAAGTGTTTTAAATCATTTTGTTGTCTTGAAGCAGTTTTTTTTTAAAATTCATATTTAATATTTATGTAGGCCTATGTATAATTTAATAATGTAATTTAAGTGTTAGATCTGTGTATGTTTTTGAAAGAAAATGCACCAAGGCTGTATTTATTTTGATCATAAATACTGTAAAAACAGCAATTTTGTGAAATATTACAATTTAAAATAACTTTTCTTTTTTAAAATGTATAGGTTTAAAATGTTACTTAATCCTGTGATGGCAAAGCTGAATTTTCAGCCATTATTCCAGTCCTTTAGAAATCGTTCTAATAATACACATACAATTTAAAATAACTTTTCTTTTTTAAAATGTATAGGTTTAAAATGTTACTTAATCCTGTGATGGCAAAGCTGAATTTTCAGCAGCCATTATTCCAGTCCTTTAGAAATCGTTCTAATAATACACTGATTTTGTGCTCGCATTTGGTGAAACATTTCTCATTATCAATTTTGAAAACCGTTGCGCTACCTAATGTTTTTGTGGAAACTGATAACATTTTTCTCAGAATTCTTTGATTAATAGTAACAAATGTCTTTCTGTTGCTATTTTAATCAATTTAATACATCTTTACTGGAGATAGAAATGTGACAAATATAAAAACCTTTCATTTTCCAAATAGCTGCAAGGACTTGGTAGCGCTCCAATCAGTGGGGCACTGACCCAGCGGTGACTGTACAAACAAGAATCACTGTGAGATTTCACAGCTGTGCTAATCTTCCCAAACTCGTCATGACAAACAAGTCACTCCTCAAGAATCCTTACAGAAAACGGCATTCCAACCTTCAGCCCTATAGCAACTTAAAACTGCTCGAGTAAGATATGTAATTATCACTTTGGTTTCATATTCATTCAAAACAGTTCTTTTCGTAAATAATTTAATACTATGTTTTTTGAGGTTACATTCCAGAGTGTGGAAACTTACTGAACAGCTTGAGTTTTTTTAGACTCTGTCCAAAAGGCATGAAAGGTCATTCTCGGGTTTATTATTGACTAGCAGGGGTAATGCTATCAGGTTAAATATTAAAACCTACTGCCAATAAAACTAAAGCTTCAAATAGACAAAATCATTACTGCAGGACGTATAAACGTGCACGTTTCACACTTAAGCCATTATGGCCTGGAATATGAAGCCGGATCGATTTGAAAACTTCCTTGTGTTTATCAGCTTGTTTTGTATGTCACAACCTCTCTAGAGTGACTCAACTTCCAGATGTTTCTACAGCAGAAGACAAAGACCGGTTTAGCGAGATATATTATATTAAGGTCACAGTGGTCTTTTCAATGGCCTTGAGAAGGAAAATTTGTGTGCTAAAGTTGTCAGAGGTTTACAAGAATACGAAATATATGATTGATGCCACAGAATATACTCATGCCACAGAACATTGAGTCCATGCAATTTAAAATAAAGCAGTCCAATGAAAGCACAGTGTGGACAGATACAGTCAATTATATATCCTGTAATCTAAAGAAAGGTCAGCTGCACTGGTCTGGATTGCTATTTATAACCTTAAAGTGTAAAATGAGCAGATGGATTCAGGGTTATGACACTATCTGCAATAGCACAGGTCTGCAGAGCTACAAATCATTTAGACAGCTTGTGCATCATCAAGCCAAAACGTATCACAGCAGTATGATACATTAAACAGATATCCTATGTGCTTCCTTGTATAGACAAATATAGATAAATGTACGCCTATTTAGTTATTATTGTTGTTAGATACAATTTTCACATGACTGTCCCTTTTTTTTATTATTATTTTTTTTATATATTATGCTCACCCTATCTGATCTTTTAAGGGGTACTGTGTGCAGCTATCGGATTGTGAGCTGAAAATAAACCCTGTCTGTCTTAACATTGCCATGCAAGTGAAGTTTACAAGCAACATTCTGTCATTCCGTACTTAAATTAATTATTTTTAAAAGAAATCCTACGGTGGCCGAGAGAGCTCAACGTGCTGCAAATTCAGAAAACACATTAAAAAACACCAGCGAATTAAGAAAACATCTTCATCAGTTTGACAGCACATGTACTGCAAATACTCGCAACACAATCAAATACAAAAACACGCCGCAAATGCTCACAACACAAACAAATAAAGAATCGCGCTGCAAATGCTCACAACCCAACCAAATAATGAAACGCTCTGCTAAAACAGAAACGCGCTGCAAATGCTCACAACACAACCAAATACAGAAACGCTCTGCAAAAACAGAAATGTGCCGCAAATGCTCACAACACAACCAAATACAGAAACGTGCTGCAAATGCTCACAACACAACCAAATACAGAAACGCGCTGCAAATGCTCACAACACAACCAAATACAGAAACGTGCTGCAAATACTCACAACACAACCAAATACAGAAACGTGCTGCAAAAACAGAAATGTGCCGCAAATACTCACAACACAACCAAATACAGAAACGCAAGTACAGACCACAACGAGAGTACCCCAACAATGCCAAAATTAGCCCAACAAAACGAAAAGTAACCATGTTTTTTTGTATTGATTACCATTTGTATAACCAACACAGTTGTACAAATAGGATGGTTAAACTATGGTTAGTATAGTAAATCCATGGTTAATTTGTGGTTACCATGGTTTAACTATAGTACTCACAACACAACCAAATACAGAAACGCGCTGCAAATGCTCACAACACAACCAAATACAGAAACGTGCTGCAAAAACAGAAATGTGCCGCAAATACTCACAACACAACCAAATACAGAAACGCAAGTACAGACCACAACGAGAGTACCCCAACAATGCCAAAATTAGCCCAACAAAACGAAAAGTAACCATGTTTTTTTGTATTGATTACCATTTGTATAACCAACACAGTTGTACAAATAGGATGGTTAAACTATGGTTAGTATAGTAAATCCATGGTTAATTTGTGGTTACCATGGTTTAACTATAGTAACAAATTATTATTATTTTTTTTAACAAAATTAATTAATTAATTAATTAATTTTATAGTAAAACCATATGGTTAATTTTTGTAAGTGAAGTTGTAAAGTACGTTAGCCAGCATACATTCTTTCACGGTTACAGTAGCCTGTGTATTTCGTCAGCTTATTTAGGCTAATAATTAAAAAAAAAAAAAGAGGAAGCAAAGGAATAGTATGATCAGGATGTTAAAATAAACTAAAATCTCATCTTTCAGAGCAAACATTGATAAATATGTCCCAGCCATGTTCGTCACTTTGTGGTTCCCTTAAACATCTCTAAGTGGTCTGTTCATATTTGTTTCTTTATTTGATTGTGTTGTGAGCATTTGCAGCGCGTGTTGTCAAATTGATGAAGATGTTTTCTTAATTTGCAGATGTTTTTTTCTATTTGCATGTGTTTTTTCATTTGCAACGCGTTGAGCTCTCTCGGCCACCATAGAAATCACATGATTGCCTACTGTATTTATTTTAATTAATTTAAATACTTTTAATTAATTTTGTTTTAAATATTTTTTTGTGATCAAGATATTCATTTGAATAGAATTAACATTAATTATTTTTCGCTCATCAAGCGAATTCATTTTTATTGCTTTTATGGTCAAGCAAATTTACAAATTGCAATTCCATAGACAAAAGCACAAAATACACTTCAGTCATGACACACGTTAACTAACTAACTAAATAAATAAATAACACAATAATGGTTATAAGATGTTATTAGGCCTAATTATAGTATAGTTACTACGGTTGCCTAAAATATGTGAATTAAAATAAAATTATATTATATTATTATAATTAGTCCCAAACATAATTCTTTAAAAACCTGTTTTTCACGTTTATTTTTATTTCAATGAGTTCTATTCTGCATAAAAGCAACCAGTATGGGAATCCATTCTGTAAAGGCTGTCAAGGTTCACTAGAATCTGAGACACGGCGGTCAGAGAGAGCAGCGTGACCGTATCCATTTCCAGGCTGCGTGCCATTATTCCCCATCCCTGTGTGTCTCAGACTGTGAGTGAAATGACAGTGAGCGCGCGCTATCTAGCTGTCGTATTGCGACTGTACGACTTGCATGCAATTGCATAAATGAATTTCCATTCAAGACAGCATGCAACAAAAATTATTTCTGGATCTTTTTTAAGTCAAACATTTTATGCTGTAATTATGCTGAAATTGTATGCATGTATGTGTATGTATGTATGTATGTATATATATATATATATATATATATATATATATA